TGCGTCAGAGGACAGAATTGTGGACTGAGCAGTGTCAGTTACTTGAGAATGAGTCGATACTGTCGATCTGCGAATGCTACATTTTAGTGTTTTTGTCAAGCGTTTGTTCACAGTGTTGAGGAAGGCACGCGCATACAATTTGGTGTTCATTTTCGAATCAGATTTGGCCGCTTAGCTCCAGCAACACTATGCTGAGCTGCAGCAACACTACAAATTGCGCGGGCTTGAAGCATTTTCCCGGACGCATACGCAGCTGGTAAGTGCAGACAACGCTACACTGCATCCCAGTACATAATGCACGATGTTGCAGGTACACAAGGGCATATCTCTTCCGAGTCCGGCACTAACTCATTGTGTATTGTATCGTCTCAGGAGAATTTCGCGATAAAGTTTACGCTGCTGCAGAGTATTAGGCACTTGTTTTGTCAAACAAACATGATTAGGCGCTTCTTCGTAACGCGCCATCAATGTTGCCTGGTGAAACACTCTCTGCTTGGAGGAAACACGAGATTTTCATGTTTGGCAGGAAGATGGGGAATTCATGGTTTTGCACCATCTGGTTTATTTCTTTGATGGCGGTATCTTGCTGCCACAGGTTTGCGAGGTCCTCCGGGGACTTTTCACGTCCTTGCTGTGATCCGGTGAGCTACTTCTGCTCTTTCTGTGCGGCCTGCAGCGAGCAAGTTGACAAGTAGTGGAGCATTTCGATAATTGCGTAGCGCAGCTGCGACCAGAACGCGTCCTCCAACGCCGGTTGCGGAAAGTGTCTGTATGCAACATTATGGTACCGATTAAATTTTCTGACGTCGGCTGTTGGCTACACACACCTTGAAATGTACTGTGCAGCAGTCTGCACGGCGTTGCATAAGACTGGCGGCTATTGCGTCGCCCCGTAGCCACCGATTTGGGACTCCTGGCGATTTTATCGCTTGCGATATATTTCTCGCGTATTTTCATGCTGCAGGTGACGTTGTTCGGCATGCTAATTTTGTACGCTGGTATTTATGGCAGATCCATCTTATGGGTGGCCACAGGTCGGGCCGGGTTATTGGCTTCCCATTACACACGCCTGTTGTAGAAGTGATCGAATGTTATATGCTATGCTCCACTTTTCTGCGGGCATAGGTTGAATGCCCAAAAGCTGAATAGCTAAAAAGGAGGATGAGCACGATGCATGGTTCAGTTGTCTGGCGAACTCGTGTAGGCGGCGCCACCAATGAAGTTTGCCGGAACGGGCGGGTTGCTCGATAGGCTCAAAGGTTACTTACTCTGACCGTTATCGGATACAAGCGTCTTTCAGCTTGGCAACAAAGCAAGGTGCAGAAGCTGATTCTAAGAACTGCTGCTTGAGGGAGTAAGCGTCGTTGTGAGAGCGTCTTTTGAGGAGTTCGCTGTGGTTGCTCACCGGAAGCAAGCTGTATTCTACATGGGGTGGATGAAGTGTGGAGTTCACAGCTAGTGCTTCTGCGTAGCAAGAGGCCTATACTGCGCGCTTATTCAGCGGAATCTTGGCTTCGCGCTGTGTTCATCACGAAGGATATCAGAAAAAGCTGCATAGAACCGACAACCTACGGAGTCCTTCGAAATGCGCATTAAACAAGCGTTGTATTGACGTGTTTGGAATGCCTGTTGATGCAGAGGTGAGGACGGCGCATGACAGCGTTCTGGTGATCCTCTTAAAAGTAGCAGCATGCTGCATTTCGTAGTGTTTTGCGGTTTTATAGCGCACATCTCGGGGGCATCTGAAGCGCGTTGCGGACTTTCGTTTGCAGCCCGTACGTGTGGAGAATATTTCAATCCATCGAATGGCGTATGTCACACTAACGAATGAGAGGCTGAGGCGTGCAAGGCAAATATGTTTTCGAGAGCGGTGGGCGTGCTGTTTCTAGAGCGAAGGAAAAGCCTTGTCAAGGAGCGGAGCTGGAGTGCATGGTCAGAGCGTGGTCAGCGTGCAGCTTGGCGGGGAGTCTTTTTTGGCAGGATCTCTGTGCGTCGGAGGGCATTGGGGGCTGCCTCGATGTACCACTTTGTTTAGGTGAAAAAGCGTTTTCTTCGCTATATTGTGGCCTTGTCAGGATCGATGACACAGTGCATTGCGTAACGCTGTGTCGCTTGTATTTTGGACATTGCCGTTGTTTCGAGTGAGTTTTGTTGCTGCTGTTTTGCAGGCGTGGGCTTGCGCGAAGGCACCCACCGGTGTCGGAGCTAGCCTCGCTGGCTATTGCGATTTGCAGCTAGTACGTCAAGGCGGACGAGCTGGAATGGCTGGTCTTGCGCTGCAACATGTCTGTGCTGTTGTCGCAGCGTACGTCTCGACTTTGATTTTGACATTAATAGCGTGCTGTGCCGCAAACGTGTAAAAGTTCGAGGCGCTATCACTAGGCGTCACAAGCTACGAAGTGCAGTGTGTATCAAGTTGCATGGCTTTGTGTGTAGTAGTGGCGATTGCGTCGGCGCGCAGCCATGGATTTGGAGCTCTTGGCGTTTTCTCGACTGCAATATCTTAGCTGTGTTCTGTCAGGCGATAGGTTGCCTTATTTCAGACTCGAACGTTCCAAGTTGGTGTTTGTGGCGCATGCATCTCGTGGGTGGTGAGGGTTTGGGTGGAACTATCGGCTTGCAAGTACCCACGACTGTTGGAGACGCGCGCAGAGTCTGCTATGCTGCGCCTCAATTTTCTGGCCAGTTGCAGGCATTAGGCTGAATGCTCTGAAGCGCACTGCGCGAAAAGGAGGGTGAGCACGTTTCATGGTTGCATTGTCTGGCGGGTTCGTGGAGGTCGTGCGATGGAGACGTTTAGCTGAACGGCGCTTGGACTGGTCGTTGCGCGGCAAAGGTTAGTTACTCGAGCGGGTCGCGAGCACAGCCAGCTTTTAGTTCGACAGCAGAGCAAAGAGCAGACGGCTACGTGACGGAATTGCCGATGCAGGGAGTGAGCGTCGAGGAGTACAAGTATTGCGAGTGTTGCGAGTGTGCGTTTGTCAGTTGCGTGAGTTCGCGGTTTTGGCATATCCACGTCGAGTTGCCCCCAGCTAGTGCATTTGCGTCGTGAAGGTTGTCTAAGTCTCTTGCGTTTTCCGGATTTGTCGTTTCACGTTGCGACTGTCTCACACGACATCAGCGCGAGTTGCACAGAGCCGATGGCTTAGAAAGGGCTTGGAAATTTGCATTAAGGCAGCGTCGTATTGACGTGTTTGGAATGCCTGTGGATGCAGGGGTGAAGAGGGCGCATGTGTAGATATTGGTGACAATATTTGAGTTGGAGGTACGTTGTGCTTCGTCGTGGTTTGCGGCTTTATGGCGCACATCTCGGGGGCATCTGGAGCGCGTTGCGGACTTTCCTTTGCAGCCCGTACGTGTGGAGAATATTTCAATGCATCGAGTGGCGTACGTCACACTAACGAATGAGAGGCTGAGGCGTGCAAGGCAAATATGTTTTCGAGAGCGGTGGACGTGCTGTTTCTAGAGCGAAAGAAAAGCCTTGTCAAGGAGCGGAGCTGGAGTGCATGGTCAGAGCGTGGTCAGCGTGCAGCTTGGCGGGGAGTCTTTTTTGGCAGGATCTCTGTGCGTCGGAGGGCATTGGGGGCTGCCTCGATGTACCACTTTGTTTAGGTGAAAAAGCGTTTTCTTCGCTATATTGTGGCCTTGTCAGGATCGATGACACAGTGCATTGCGTAACGCTGTATCGCGTGTATTTAGGACATTGCCGTTGTTTCGAGTGAGTTTTGTTGCTGCTGTTTTGCAGGCGTGGGCTTGCGCGAAGGCACCCACCGGTGTCGGAGCTAGCCTCGCTGGCTATTGCGATTTGCAGCCAGTACGTCGAGGCGGACGAGCTGGAATGGCTGGTCTTGCGCTGCAGCATGTTCGCGTGACAGTCGCAGCATACGTCCCTGCTTTGATTTTGACATTAATAGCGTGCTGTGCCGCAAACGTGTAAAAGTTCGAGGCGCTATCACTAGGCGTCACAAGCTACGAAGTGCACTGTGTATAAAGTTGCATGGCTTTGTGTGTAGTGGTGGCGATTGCGTCGGCGCGCAGCCATGGATTTGGAGCTCTTGGCGTTTTCTCGACTGCAATATCTTAGCTGTGTTCTGTCAGGCGATAGGTTGCCTTATTTCAGACTCGAACGTTCCAAGTTGGTGTTTGTGGCGCATGCATCTCGTGGGTGGTGAGGGTTTGGGTGGATCTATCGGCTTGCAAGTACCCACGACTGTTGGAGACGCGCGCAGAGTCTGCTATGCTGCGCCTCAATTTTCTGGCCAGTTGCAGGCATTAGGCTGAATGCTCTGAAGCGCACTGCGCGAAAAGGAGGGTGAGCACGTTTCATGGTTGCATTGTCTGGCGGGTTCGTGGAGGTCGTGCGATGAAGACGTTTAGCTGAACGGCGCTTGGACTGGTCGTTGCGCGGCAAAGGTTAGTCACTCGAGCGGGTCGCGAGGACAGCCAGCTTTTAGTTCGACAGCAGAGCAAAGAGCAGACGGCTACGTGACGGAATTGCCGATGCAGGGAGTGAGCGTCGAGGAGTAGAAGTGTTGCGAGTGTTGCGAGTGTGCGTTTGTCAGTTGCGTGAGTTCACGGTTTTGGTATATCCACGTCGAGTTGCCCCCAGCTAGTGCATTTGCGTCGTGAAGGTTGTCTAAGTCTCTTGCGTTTTCCGGATTCGTCGTTTCACGTTGCGACTGTCTCACACGACATCAGCGCGAGTTGCACAGAGCCGATGGCTTAGAAAGGGCTTGGGAATTTGCATTAAGACAGCGTCGTATTGACGTGTTTGGAATGCCTGTGGATGCAGGGGTGAAGAGGTTGCGTGTGTGGATTTTGGTGACAATATTTGAGTTGGAGGTACGTTGTGCTTCGTCGTGGTGTGCGGCTTTATGGCGCACATCTCGGGGGCATCTGGAGCGCGTTGCGGACTTTCGTTTGCAGCCCGTACGTGTGGAGAATATTGCAATCCATCGAAAGGCGCATGTCACACTAACGAATGAGAGGCTGAGGTGTGCATGACAAATGTGTTTTCGAGCACGGTGGGCGTGCTGTTTCTAGAGCGAAAGAAAAGCCTTGTCAAGGAGCGGAGCTGGAGTGCATGGTCAGAGCGTGGTCAGCGTGCAGCTTGGCGGGGAGTCTTTTTTGGCAGGATCTCTGTGCGTCGGAGGGCATTGAGGACTGCCTCGATGTACCACTTTGTCTAGGTGAAGAACCGTTTTCTTCGCTATATTGTGGCCTTGTCAGGATCGATGACACAGTGCATTGCGTAACGCTGTGTCGCTTGTATTTTGGACATTGCCGTTGTTTCGAGTGAGTTTTGTTGCTGCTGTTTTGCAGGCGTGGGCTTGCGCGAAGGCACCCACCGGTGTCGGAGCTAGCCTCGCTGGCTATTGCGATTTGCAGCCAGTACGTCGAGGCGGACGAGCTGGAATGGCTGGTCTTGCGCTGCAGCATGTTCGCGTGACAGTCGCAGCATACGTCCCTGCTTTGATTTTGACATTAATAGCGTGCTGTGCCGCAAACGTGTAAAAGTTCGAGGCGCTATCACTAGGCGTCACAAGCTACGAAGTGCACTGTGTATAAAGTTGCATGGCTTTGTGTGTAGTGGTGGCGATTGCGTCGGCGCGCAGCCATGGATTTGGAGCTCTTGGCGTTTTCTCGACTGCAATATCTTAGCTGTGTTCTGTCAGGCGATAGGGCGCCTTATTTCAGACTCGAACGTTCCAAGTTGGTGTTTGTGGCGCACGCATCTCGTGGGTGGTGAGGGTTTGGGTGGAACTATCAGCTTGCAAGTAGCCACCGCTGTTGGAGACGCGCGCAGAGTCTGCTATGCTGCGCCTCAATTTTCTGGCCAGTTGCAGGCATTAGGCTGAATGCTCTGAAGCGCACTGCGCAAAAGGGAAGGTGAGCACGTTTCATGGTTGCATCGTCTGGCGGGTTCGTGGTCGTACGATGGAGACGTTTAGCTGAACGGTGCTTGGACTGGTCGTTGCGCGGCAAAGGTTAGTTACTCGAGCGGGTCGCGAGGACAGCCAGCTTTTAGTTCGACAGCAGAGCAAAGAGCAGACGGCTACGTGACGGAATTGCCGATGCAGGGAGTGAGCGTCGAGGAGTAGAAGTGTTGCGAGTGTTGCGTGTGTGCGTTTGTCAGTTGCGTGAGTTCGCGGTTTTGGTATATCCACGTCGAGTTGCCCCCAGCTAGTGCATTTGCGTCGTGAAGGTTGTCTAAGTCTCTTGCGTTTTCCGGATTTGTCGTTTCACGTTGCGACTGTCTCACACGACATCAGCGCGAGTTGCACAGAGCCGATGGCTTAGAAAGCGCCTGGGAATTTGCATTAGGCAGCGTCGTATTGACGTGATTGGAATGCCTGTGGATGCAGGGGTGAATAGGGCGCATGTGTGGATTTTGGTGACAATATTTGAGTTGGAGGTACGTTGTGCTTCGTCGTGGTTTGCGGCTTTATGGCGCACATCTCGGGGGCATCTGGAGCGCGTTGCGGACTTTCGTTTGCAGCCCGTACGTGTGGAGAATATTTCAATGCATCGAGTGGCGTACGTCACACTAACGAATGAGAGGCTGAGGCGTGCAAGGCAAATATGTTTTCGAGAGCGGTGGGCGTGCTGTTTCTAGAGCGAAGGAAAAGCCTTGTCAAGGAGCGGAGCTGGAGTGCATGGTCAGAATGTGGTCAGCGTGCAGCTTGGCGGGGAGTCTTTTTTGGCAGGATCTCTGTGCGTCGGAGGGCATTGGGGGCTGCCTCGATGTACCACTTTGTTTAGGTGAAAAAGCGTTTTCTTCGCTATATTGTGGCCTTGTCAGGATCGATGACACAGTGCATTGCGTAACGCTGTGTCGCTTGTATTTTGGACATTGCCGTTGTTTCGAGTGAGTTTTGTTGCTGCTGTTTTGCAGGCGTGGGCTTGCGCGAAGGCACCCACCGGTGTCAGGACTCGCCTCGCTGGGTTTTGCCATACGCAGCCAGTACGTCGAGGCGGAGGAGCTGGAATGGCTGGTCTTGCGCTGCAACACGTTTGTGTTGTAGTCGCAGCGTACGCCCCTACTTTGATTTTGACATTAGTCTGCATGCTATGCCGCAGACGTGTAGAAGTGTGAGGCGCCGTCACTAGGCATCACAAGCTATGAAGTGCTCTGTGTATAAAGTTGCATGGCTTTGTGTGTAGTGGTGGCGATTGCGTCGGCGTGCAGGCATGGGTTTGGAGCTTCCGGAGTTTCGACGGCTGCAGTGTGCATTCCGTGTTGTTTTGCTGGCGGTCACATTTTCTAACTTGGATGTCTCAAGTAGACGTTTAGCGAGCATCAATCGTGCGCAAACATTTTAGTGTCTGTATGTAGCGTTTGTCGCTGTGTGGTTTTATATACATATGCAACTGAGACGTATAAACTTTACGGGAGCAACGCACAGTGTAAAGTGTTCATTTCGGCAGGTTGGATATTGGACGGATAGTCGTTTGAATGCCTTGCATACTGATATGGACGGCGGCGCGCGTGCGTTTCGGATACTTCCTAATCCTGCAGCCACGTTCTTTGAGCATATCGTGGCACAACTATGAATCCTACCGTTGGTTGAATGCTAGAGGCTCCCTTCTTGTATCCCGCAGTCTCTATGGACTGCCAGCTGTACGCGCTTCGCGTGATGGTGCGTTGAGCGTGATGTACTGAAGATTATGCGAATTGCAAACTGCATTTTCATTCGTGACGTATTCAGTTTGGTCGAAAGAAATGTGAATTGCATATGCGTATATTGCGCCATTATCGGAGTCGCCAGCAGAAATGCATGAATGTCATTTCCGGGTCGTTGCACGCACATCTGGATGCCTGTCAATTGACAGGTAAGGATATCTTTGTCGCGTTCACGGGGTTTTTGCTTTATCGTCTGTTGGAAATCCGAGATGGGGATTTTCGAGGATGCGTGCTTCAGGGAGTGAGCCCGTTGGCAGTTCAGCTTACCCGGTGGAGTCATGTGCCTTAGCAGTTGTCACACGAGCTTGTCCAGTTGCCGCTCATTTCGGGCAGTTCTCACTTGAGATTCTGAAGGGACGATAAGTATAAGCCACGTGATAATTTCTTAGCATCGTTGCTCGAAAAAAATAAGGTAGCAGTTCAGACACTACGTGAAGATCGTATGTCTACGCATTGCGGTGCCATACGTCATTGCTTGATAGACCCCAACACTGTTGGGAATAAAAAAGCGCACTGAAACTCTAGCAGTTATGCCGGGGTGTTCTGGAGTTCCACGCCGTATGAAGAA